TTTAGAAAGTAGGACATGCATGGGGAAAATGACTAAGTACTTATGCTTATTTTCACCATCATACTTGTTTTGGTTTCTTCGAAATGAGTTCAGTGACTTTATTTTCATGACCCCCCCCCCAGGTTAAATATGAATCAGAAGAAAATATTTGCATTAATTTAATGTGAAGTTCAGCAGATACTTTGAAGACCTTCCGGGACAGGTAAAATGCAAATTTCATGTGTGTATACTATATGTCTCATTACCTTTCCTTTGTACGACCTCTTTGGAAATGGCTCGATATAATCCCATTATATATTACCCCACATCTCTGTAGTTTAATTTACCAGAAAGGAATCCCCTTGCAAACCCTGACGTTTCTCATATTGTCATATGAACATCATTCCCGGACGAAGAGACATTTTCAATAAATAAGCAATACTTCATCATGCAAAAGACACATGGACATTGACACCGATTCTAGGCATCGATACTTTCTCTCTTTTGACAGAGAAATCTCCTCTAAAAAGAATTAAACCACGGCAGTGCTAGCGATATGTAGGTATGATATTAACTCCTGAAAAACAATTCATTGCATTGCGCCTGGAATACTTGGCTACAAGGCGGGTTCCTGTTTTTTTTTCTATTAGAATTACTAGGCAGAGAAAGGATAAAATGCGTTGAATATAATTTTCTATGGCATTCAGGAATCCTGGTCGATGAAGGCTTTCTAGTCGATGGGCTCCACGACAGTCTCACCTTGGGCGTAGATTCTCCTCGAGATTGACCCTACCGGCTTCCTTCTCAGGCTGTTCACTAGAGCACGAAAAGTGAATAAATAATCAGCGGACGAATGTCAAGGAGGCAACCAATCTCCAAGCTCTCTGCAATTTCATGTTTATGGTTGTTTCTCCTTTCTCGCTCTTTCAACATCTATTCGTCCACCAATGCACGCTTTCTCAATGGCTCACCGACATTTAATACCTATAAGAAAACTGATATTCTGGGGGAACTCTCATCCACGTTTTTTTTACTTGTAATGCGTAGACAGATCTAGACGCATTTCCCACTTCATGCAACACATTTTTACTTCCAAGGAAAAAGTAAGTCATGAGGCGCTGATTGTCAATTGTAGCAAAAATGAAGATATTAGAGATTTTAAAATGTAATTGTATTTTTTCAGAGTAATCCCTTTCAATGTGAGGTTCATGATGCACTTCAATATTGTTTATTACATATTATTTTGCAATATTAACTTCAGGAATTGCAGCAGTACTGTGATGGTATTAGACCCTGCAACTGTCAGCAAAATTGATGCGTCTGCTTAAAGTAGGCTGCTGGAGAAAAATATGAAGGGCTGAAAGGCAAAGTGGTCTATCTGCAAAAAGTATTTCCTTGAGCTCCACACGGAACAATATATTATTTCAGGGACTCTGTTGTGAAAGGTGAAAAAAGTTATGCATCGACGGAACAGTTCATTGTTTAACATACATACAAAAATAAAATTGTCTATGAAAGGAACAATGTTCTATGCGCACTTAATCAGCGACAATTTCTTGAAATATTTTTCATATAGACCACACTACCTTTCAGCCCTTTATACACAGGTAGAGTACGTCATCATTAGAGCTGTACCGATACCACACTTGGCTGGTGGGCCGAATTTGATCTCATAGCCAAAAGCTGATGGCAGTGCCGATTGTGGTTTGTAGATATAGAAAAATAGTGACATGAAATCGCCCGCTATTTTAAATTGCCCTATTTGGCACTCATGTGTTCCTCATCCATTATCTCCTTTCAAAACTATTGAGAACGCTTCCAGTCCTACCGAACCTGTCCGTCTCTCTATGTTGCCGTCAGTGGTTAACTTCTTACAAATGCAGAATCAAGAACGTTTGATGACACATTTCACGGAAAAGCATAACAATATGATTGTTGAGAGCTTTCCCCGACGTTGAGGCACCACTGTTGAAATCTAGTGCACAATGTCTCAATGACAAAATCCGCTCTTTTTCAATCCAGATGTGTGAACATCATAATTTTCTTCCTTGTCCGTCTCTGAAAACCCCTAGAAGTCGATGATGAACACCAAAGCAAAATGACTTCGCTAATAAGTGCTTGCGATGCCCAGGAAATTCTCCCTGGAACTTAGGCTTTTTACGAAACACCTCACCCAGAAGTGCAACCATTTTCGTAAAATCTGGATAGCTTTTTGCATGGTCAGACCCACATGAAGCAACTCAATGCTATAGTTGGGATAATGCGTCTATCAGGAAAAAAATGGACTCGGGAAAGAGTGGCCCATTTGGAATATAGTTTTCTTGCCAAGCTTTTGCCTGCCCAGAATGGCAACAAGGAGTCAAGGCTTACATTTCGGTGTGTAGGTGGCCGCGATCCATTCGTCGTAGCTCTCGAAAGAGTGGAACTTGGATCGGAGTTTCGCCTTTAGTACTTTCTTCACGCGGTCACTCATCTGGACAAGCACCAGCTCATGACCTCGCTCCGCAAGGTCGGACATGGTCGCCTCGATCACCTGGTAACGAACCCATGCGTTACCCATTCGTTCGTTCCACTGCCTCGCGTCGTCTTGCCTCACCTTGGCGGAGGTGAAGTCGATGGACGTGATCTTCTCGCAGTCGAGGAAGACAGGGATGTCAGGACTTTTCCTGGACTTCTTGATGAGGGCGTGGCGTACATGTTCCGTGGATAGGAACACGGTTGGACCTTCCGGTTTGATCATCAGGTAAGTATGACCTTCCAGCTGCAAAAACCACAGGGTCATACTAGAATTTAATGCACAATAACACATTTCGGTTGTAAAAATCGTCACACCTCTCTCCGCTTTTCGCTTAGTTCTCATCAACAGATCCATGGTGACGATTTTTTATAATCAAACTTGGCTAGGAAGTCAATATTAGGGCTTTTTTACCGCATGTGTCCTTTTTATAGTCAATTTAAAATCAGTTAACTCCCTTATGGAAAATTCCAATGGAATTACCACGAAAATACCATGGGATAGAGAAAGGGAATCCATCCCCCTCGGGGGATGAATTCCCATTCCCTTATATAACGTAACAGCCTCTCATCACTGCCACTCCACTAGTTCGTCCTGCACCACAGAACAGCCTGCTTTAATGTACGGGGAATTTTAGAATATAACCTTTAGAAGTTAAAAATTAATTTGAAAGATCTACCATTTCATCTCATACCCATTCATCTCATCCCATAAATTCCTTTGAGATCCAATGGAAGCAACACGTGGATAGGGAAGAAGTGAATTTCTCCAAAATTCGTACGAGAATCAATTAGAATCATGGGATATTTCCATGGAAACCATGAAAAGTCACCACGGGAAGGTCATTGGAAGTCATCGGTTCAAATTGAATCCGTTGCAGATCGTACTCCAATTAACACAAGGAATTCCCATGGGATCCCATAAACGGCCATATACTGTAGATCCCATCCCAAACAACGCATGACGTTCATGTAACGTTGTTGCAAGGTTACTTGAGCGAAATGACATTGCGGTAACGTCGTATGGAAGTAATTTGTTGGTAACGTCGTACGTGTTGGTTGGGATAGGATTTCCATAGATTCCATTGTAATCCTATAGGATTCCCGTAGCAATTTTCCATAAGGGATCTGTCATTTAAAGCAGAGTAATCTAATAATCCAAATCATATAAAATGCTTAAGCCATATCAGACCTACTCTAATGAACTTTTTTTCACTTCTAGATTCACAAACCATAGAGCGGTAGAGATGGGACCCTGGAATCTCGCATACCTGTCTCTTTTGCAAGGCCACCTTCGGCCGGGCAATGTCGAAGAGAAACTGGACGAGATCGATCCCCACGCCAACCACGATGCCGTAGTGGAGTCCCAGCAGAATGCTGGTAATGAATGTCGCCAGCCACGGAATCAACTCCAACCCTGCAAAGGGATGTTGTCGATTGGCACGTTCGGGCACACGGCGGAGACGCTTCACCCTCTTTAAGTCCAAAATACATTTTGGTGCTCAAAAATTGTCACCAAATATGACTTCAGTCATTTTCGATGGTAGTTTCAGCTGACCAAATAACTATTACCTTTTTTATTATTTGCAAATACGTACGACAGTGGAAGAGTTTATGTAATTTCGAAGAGGGATTGTGTTACTCCTCGGTGAAATGTCTTGTCAAACACAATTACCAATGATTCTCAACTTTTTTGCTGCCCGAGATAGTATATTCACGTAGAACACGCTTACATTCGTACTGATAAACCCACTACTGGCATCAACAGGGTGGCCGAAAGAGTTTGCTGAAGACAACGCAAACGCGTTGAGCATAACTTCAGATATTCATGTGTGGTTCCAAATATACCTTCATCAGGCGCTGTAATCTTCGTTTTTCAGGCATACTACCTTCAGCATTCATTAGGACATACCTATATTTAGTTTTTTTTTACGTACATATACGATCCTAACAGTGGTTTGCACAGTCATACCGCAAAAATATAACTTTGTAAGCATTAATAACAGTATCTCCATGAAGACAATTGAATTTAACAAGGAAAAACACTGTTAATCCTTGAAATAGAATGAACGTGTGCTGAGCAGTGCCGTTTCCCTCTCCATTCTGGGTACTGTTAATTTCATTGGTCACGAAAGAAAACGTACGTTTCCTAAAAATGAGATTTCATTTCCTCCATATCCTGGGAAGAAGAAAATTCACATTTCCAGAAGTGGAACATATCCAACGCTGTCACTCTAACCTCTCTCGAAAAGAAACGCGAGGAGATAACTAAGAAACTTTGAGTTGTTGAAGAATCGTATGAAAGCAACGTTTCGGCTCCAGTCATATTTATATCTCATTTTGATGCGCTAGTAGAGTCGGGTGCACATACACAGGAAGCCCCTCCTCACCATTGGCGTACAAATACATTTTCAGTTTCTTGTAAAAAAATTAAAAGAGACCTTTCTGGGACAGTTTTTCTCCCTATATCAAGCACACAGAAACCCTTGGAAGAAGTTTAAACTAACGGTTAACAGTCCAGATCTTCAGGAATTCCTTGTACTCAAACATAAAGATGACCGAGCTGATGATCACGGCCGCGAGGCAGGCCTTGGGGATGTAGAAAAAGTGAGGTGTCAGCACCGACAAGGCCAGAAGCACCAAGGATCCTGCAGAGACAAGTTCATCCTGACCTCACTGAGGTAATAGATTCCAAATTCCCTGAATAAAATTATCCCCTAAAAATTACTCGCATTGAAAACATCGACAGATCACTGGATGATACTAATAAATGTTGGTGTAATTTCAGGAAAATAGATGGGAAACGATCGGACAATTTTTGAGCTGTGTAGCGTTTCTTATCAATGGAATATACCTTAGCCATTCATTTCAAGGAATCCGAATGCTATGTTGTTAAACTTACCAGTAACAATTCCCCCGGCCGGCGTCTTCACTCCAGACGCGGCATTCACGACAGTTCTGCATAACGATCCACTGGTTGGAACGGAGGAGAAGAAGGACCCAGCCAAATTGCAGAGACCCAGGGCGAAGATCTCTTGGTTGAAATCGATCGCCTTGCCTCGAGCTACGGGGTGGATCATTTAACTTCATAAGTTCCATCGCGTCGTGATTAATTTATTTTATTGGATTCTTCAGGAATGGGTCTTCCTGGCGCTCAGTGTCTACATTTAGGAATTATAAATAAGTAAATTAAGAATAATCAGTTTTGGGTAGTCTATACTCACAGCAAATGCGAGTTGAACCTTCCCGGAGGAAGGCCACAGGACTCACCGAATGCTTTGGAGATGGCAATGCTCTCGAGGATCCCAACAATGGGGACGATGACAATGGCTGGAGCCAGCTCCAATACCTTTTCCAGGAAATTCTTCCCTGCTACGAACGGCGGAATGGCGACGGGTGGGATGCCAGGCACCACACTCCCTATTCCCCCCGATCAATAACAACTCGTCATGTCAATATTTCAGAAGCAGGGATTATTCTCTCACTTGAATTTGAAGTACATTAAATGTTACAGTTTTACATCAAATGTGATCTGCTTATTTACAACTGGCAGAGGTACCCGGCATTACACTGGTGAATATTGCATAAGTTCCATATTTGCCTGCAGTAAATAAGGTATCCCTGGGGCAGGGCCGGATTTAAGGGCAGGAAACCCAGGCGACCGTCTGGTGCAAGGGTCTTGGTCTTGGGCTGGACCGACCCGGCCGGGTCCGAGTTTTCAATCACCCCCTAGCAGATGACAATCCCCGGACCAAATGAGGAAGGCATGCAGAGTTCGGTAGGACTGGGAACAAAGGCATGGCCGTGCATAAAGGACAGACAGGATCAGCTTCGTTGGAGAGGGCCGAGACTTGAACCCGGGCCTTCTGACTGCCTGTCAGATGTGCTACCGAAACCGGGACGGATATTGTGCATATCACCGCACGAGGCTTTCGGTTTTAGACATTCTGTTTTCTTATGTTGAGATACAGGCTTTTAAACGTTTTGGAAAGTTGTCCACGATGGTCGTCAGCTTTTCGACCTTAATGTCGTCCCTGGTCTTAAGAAAACTCTAATTTTTAAAGAAAACTTTTCTTTGAAACATCTTCATGTTTCAAAGTCAGGAACATTCTAAAATTTCAAAAATGTATATAGATTCATATATGCAATGTATTAGAATTAGTCAAAACATGACATATTGTTATATGTGACATATACATTGCAACTAAGCACCATATAAAGGGCTGATATACTACGTATGAACCACGTATATATTCATACTAGCGAGTTTGTTTGCCCGAAGGGCAAAAAAACTCGCTATGGTCGGGCCTTCGGCGCTGCATTACCTTGGGTAGTGATTAATTCATTTATTCTTTGCGAAATGGCAAACACGTATTTAAAGTACGTCCCCATTGAAATACGTGATATATGGGGACAAAAGTCTTCATTTTTATCAAAATAATTACTTCTATGATTTCTAGTGTGCCTTGAAATCATTTCACCCCTTTTTGTAAGGGCGGAGAATACATTTGGAAATACTTCCCTCCTATAATCTACGCAAAGGGGACATATTTCAAAAGTAGAATTTTTCCTCAACTCAGAATGCGAAGAACTACTTATGTCAGTCAGTAGGCTACTCACGATCGTCTATATGTAGTAAGAAAAAAATATTTTTTCTTTCCTAAGTTATCCACACGTTATTCGTTGCCAAGTTTAAACTTTCTAGCGCCCTCTGTTTTGCTAGATCAGAATATTCGGGAAAATACGCCGTTTGCAAAATATGTGCCCTGAGGCGTTTTAACTGAAAAATACCATTCTTTTTTTTCCTTTATTATTATTATTATTATTTTTTCTTTTTTACCGAAATCCATCCTCAGTGAACTACATGACCAAAAAGTTTCAATATTATACGTTTGCCCTTTTTGCTGGTGAAAAAACGTGTTTGGAAAAGCCGACCCACCCAAAAACTAAGCTAGGAGGGGATACAGCATGAAAGTCGAATACTCCCTCAACACAATAATATCATGTCACTTATACGTGTGCCAAGTTTCACCATTCCATTTCTGTCCAATTTACCCCGACAAAATCTTTTTTCAAAACATCCTTCCCTGAAAAATTCCCCCAGGGGATGTATCGAGACGTAACATTTTTCTTTAACTCCTCATCTCAGTAGTCACATTCATGCAAAGTTTCAGCTTTCCATGATCATCAGTTTACCTAATACAAAAAAATTATTTGCAAACATCTCCCTTTGAAAGTTGTGCCCCCAGGGCATTTACTTCCAAAGTCTGAATTTTTCTGCAGCATCCCAATATGTAGTTATGTACCAAGTTTCATATTTCCTCGCTCGCTCAACACGTCAGGACAAATAATATGCTTGAAAATGTCGGCCCCAAAAAAAATCCCCCCAGGGCATGGATCTAAAATTTCACACTTTTCCTGAACGCGTCGTTTCAGTAGGCACGTCCATGTCAGGTTTTAGCTTTCCATGTCTCTCCGTTTTACTCAAGCAAAAATAAAGTTATGGAGGGGGAATGAGTAAACTGAGTTGGAAGTCAAAATAAGCCGAGGAATGGCCGGGAATTGAACCCGGATCTTTTGCGTGACCGGTCAGAGACGCTCCTACTACACCACCAAACCCAGTACGTCTTATACATTCGCTGAATGCCATCCTCATCTGTCACAATATGTATTTAAGAAAAACGTTTCCCCCCAAAATTTGTACTCCCAGGACACGTACCTCCAAAGTCGGATTTTTTCTGAACTCTGCATCCCAAAAGGTACATGTGTTCCAAGTTTCAGATCTCTAACCCTTCTAGAACATTGTTAGAATTAGCGTCAGTCAGTCAGTCACGATCGTCTATATATATATGATTAATTAAGAATGACCAAACCATAAAATGGTTTGAACGGCTTCCAAATACAGTCTCTCATATGAAATTTGTAATTGTACCATGTGCATTCCGAGATAACCCCTCCCCGTATGGCCATATTTAATAATCCGCATGAAATCAGGATATGGAGATCCCATAGGTACAGCCACTCCATTCAATACTACTTCGAAGCTCAGTCCTGTATGACCCAATATGTCAGTGCAACTTTCGGCTTCCCCGTGTTCCCTACCCGTTTCCTATACTTCAGTCTATGTATGTATGGATGTCAGATTTCTTTGTAATGCCCACCGCTGGCAGCGTCAGTGCGGAAAGCTGAGGTTGTCACCCTCAACTTACAGTAAGCATTCCAATTTTAACCCCTACTAACCCGAGTAATACGTCCAGACGTTTTACACAACCCTGCGGAAAATTCCATATCGGAGGTGTAAAACATCCCCTAAGTAAGGGGGGTGGGGTAGTGTAAGGTATATAGCCCACAAGATGTTGGTAGGTTCCCTGATTCGTCCATTATAACAATAAGTCAATATCACTATAGTAGTCTATTATTATGTAAATGCATTACCTCCAAGTTTTTTTTCCAGTTATTCACATATTGTTTCTGCCTGATGTTATTAAAACGATATTTTCCATATCCGTCACTTCTTTTGACTTACTTAGCTGAAGCCTGAACTACTTCAAAGGCACACCGCTCTTAGACCTTAACGTGTCCATCATATGCACTTTTCTTATTATCTTACGCATTCCTCCCTGTAATTTCATACCGGTCAAGGAGAGGGGTTTGGTAGGGTCGTTCCCGTTGACGAAGTAAGCGACGACCGCTCCCAGGACCATGACGAGGGCGTTTCGCGCAGTGCAGATGAACCAGACCGTCTTGCTCACCACCAATAACATCCCCTTGTGGCTGATCACCTTTGACCAGTCCCATGTTTTTGCTTTCTGGAAAAGGTTCACCGGATGCATCGTTGGTTTATTATGTCTTCAGCAGTGTTCATTCAATCCCGTATTTAGATTCGACTTGTATTTTGCCTCGTAATTCATCGCATAGGATCATCGAATCATTAGTATGGACCACCTGGAATTTTATTTAATGTGATGCCATGGTGCAGATGTGAGTAAATTTCTGTCTATAAAAGGCGTGAAGGGAAGGGAAAATGACCGATTAATATCATGATAATTACAAGGGTAGACCAAAGCATAGTTTATTCTGCAGGAAATCGCCCATATCATTAAGCTTTCATTCGCTTAAAAGTAATTTCATGGACTCTCAGCAGGGAACGTGCTACAAAGAGGCAAATAATACAATTATATTGTTAAACAGGCCCACCACATGGAGCTATTCAAGTCCTCCAGTAGCAGTTTGATATGGGATGTACGAGCAATAAGCATTTTCGTTGGGAAACACATCGAGCTTCTCTTTCACTAAGTCGATATTGTAGCTTGCTAACAAAAGGGCTCAATCTCGACGAATTCTTAAATCACATTTTTTCTGGCTTGCAACAAAATGAGTAATTAGAACCAATGAAAGCGTACAATGTCAGGCTTGCAAGGGAACAGCGCTCCTCAGCATCATAATCGATATCTCTAAAATAAGTCATTACCTGCACTTTCTCCGAAATTAATAAGGAAATTTAATTTTCACCATGAACTCAAGAAGTTCCCAAGAATGCACGCGGTTGCAGAAGTCGAAATACATAGGGATTAATGTGCTGAATGATTCATTTCAATTCAGAAACACTTGCATCATACCACTTCCATGGGAGTTTTTTCGTTTCTAAAATAATATGGAAGAAGTCATCGATCCCAGTGAGATGTAATTACCGATTTTATATTTCAGGAATCATAATGTTATTTGAAGTATATATGCTTGCTGTTATGTTTTACTTATAAGTTATTATTTAATTATTTACACCACAAACCACCCTCATATCAACCGCACATATATTTATATAGTTGCATAAAATATGTAAAAATTCAGTTTGCAATACTAGAGCTGCAACAGTTCTATCAATAATTTGAAGGGCGTGGTTGATGTTGGTCAGTAACCCATTTCTCTATATCGTGACAAAGTAGTTAGACTTCAAATTTCCCGCCCCCTAGTGGAAAGGAAACAGTAAAAATTAAATAATAATTGTCAATTTTTTATGTTAGACAACTGTTTTCCATATTTCACCTGTTTGCTATTTACTGTCCTGAGCTGTACTCAAGCTGTGATATGCTTAGAGTACTTTAACCGTTTAAAAGAAAAAGACAATGCTGCAAAAATAATACATCAGAATAAATGGATTAAGCGCATGCGAGGAATGCTCTGTGGAATATTACAAGATATGGTTGCATCCTTCGTTGTAAGTTATTTTCTACTTAGCATGATGTACTGACTGTACCTTAAAGATCGCAAGTTTTTTTACAATATATAATCCTCCTAAAGCTAAATATTTTTTATCTTTGGGATTTTTTTCCGAATCATTGTTGGTCACTGCCTATTCACTAACTTCAACATCACCCCCCCCGCCCCCTAATTTTACCTGTCCATGTAGGCATCCAGTTTCTTATTTAAAATTGGCACAGATAGTCTGGCCTATCATGTAGATGTATGGCGACCCTAAAGCCTGAAGCTGGCCTTTAGGAGTGGGCCAAAGGTGTCCACATTATAGATATCATGCATGCCTCAGTCCAAGAACAGAAACACGACCGTTTTCCGTTGATTAACCGTTCCAATGCTATTGACGAATGTATATGTATTAACAATATGCATTGCGTTAGAACGTAAAGGAATTGAGGACGTAAGGAACTTAAGCGAAATGAAATATTCCCAATTTCGATGCTTTCTTCCCATGTGCTCTAATTTAACAACTTTCAATACGCCTTCGTTTCTAACTCGCTCCAGTTTTAAATAACTCCATTTTGATGGAAGACATTTTTCAAGGAAAGGTGTACGTTATCCAAGTCCTCATTCTTGCTACAGGACTCACCCGCAGAAAGAGGAGAAGGCAAATGGAAACGAAGGCTGTGAGAAAGTCCCACATGTGGGTTTCGCTGAAGTGGTAGGCGACATCTTTGAGGACCTTGATGAAGTCGTGAGCGTGGACGACGGAGGAGAGGCCAAAAATGTCAGCGATTTGAGTCACGGAGATGACGATTGCCGCCGCTGAAGTGAAACCCGACATCACAGGCGTCGAGATGAAGTTTATTAAAATCCCTGCGGAACATTTCCTAAAAGTCATGTCCATTTCAAAACTTAATGCCGAAATTGGTGCAACATCTCTTTCATTGAAGTCGTCTCGAAAATAAGCAATGCAAGTGATTCAGCCACAACGAAGAAATTCAGTGAGCACCTTCGCTACTTCAGTCCATATAATCAATAATGACCACAATAGCATATGACTATTGAAAGTAAACTTAACAAGGTGATGTGGGATATCCCTTATCGACCTCAACTGGAAAGTACGGGTGTCAATTATAAAGTGAAAATAATTAGTTTCAGATTATGTCCCGGAAAATATGTGTTATGGATATGCTGGCTGTCTGATGATATATATTAAAAAATAGATTTTATAAATATTAAAAATTTGAAGTTGGTTATCTTAAGGAGTCTCCTTGTTTCAAATAATTCATTTAAAACTAGAGGAAGCACTTCATGACATGATTGCCGATTATCATGCACTCATCAATAATATTTTGGTGCTTTAAGTGCATACTTACATGGGTAATTGATTAATTATGAGCGCATGAAATACAGTTCATGATGTTTCTGGTCGTTTTGTCAGAATTTGCGCGTATCAGTTAAATTCAGTCTGTCTTTTTTAATACTTGGATAGGAATCCATACAGTCATCAATATAATCCAAATGCACGGCGTCAAAGAAGCAGTTTATAGCTTCATGACACATTGGTGATATAATTTTAAAAATTAATTATATCAGTTTTAGAGTAGACCTCGGAGTTTCCTGATAAATTGTTGGACAGACTAGCAAAATGCAGCAATTGTAAAATCTCGACTTTCGTCGAGATTTTACAATTCAGTGATTTTACAATAAGTACGATGTTAACTATTTACAACCAGGGATCGAACGGCGGTGAATTCCTGATTGAACGTCTTTTGGTTACCTTACTTTAATAGGTGATTGTGGATTGGTGACTTTGTACACTTCTCTGAAATACCTTGTCAATGATATATTACGTGACTCTATTGAGGCAATTGAATAAAAAGGGCCACATTTATGTACACAAGTTTTGCAATTTTTCCAATTCATTTTGTTGGAAAAGGGAAAAACCAAATTAAGTATTGTTGAAAATATATCGAATTCACCTTTCTGATGACCTCAGCCCTGGTACCTTGCCGATACATCTTTAAAATATCCACCCGAGATGAATAGAAATTAGGTCATTGAACATTTTTGGAATGGTTTTCTCGTCATTTTTGGACAAAAGCCCAGCAAGAAAATTGGCAATATATATTTCAGCAGCATCGTACGTATATAGTGCTACCTCTGAAAGAGGGCTGAAACGTACCATAAATAATCATTTGTCTTTTTCTTTGCAATCAGGGAATTTAAATCAAAATCGCCTGAATGTCCATTTGAAAAAAATAATCACTCCAAATCCTGAGGATCTAGCTATGAAAATTATTCACCTTTCAAATATCCCTTGTTCAAGCTGTGCGCGTCTTCGTAAGGTGAACAGTTCCCAAGATAGAATCCTAACGTCAAATGGGTTTTTTGTTGTTCACTAGAGATTGAAGGGTGATATCTCGCGAACTTCCTATCCAACGGGGCTGATAATTTTATTTTACAAGGTTTTGAGATTGGCTGCGATTGCAGATAATTTTTATCGCCAGATCCAAGTTAGGGGCCATTGAAAGTTATATTGGTGGAGTTGAGATGGGATGACCATTGACGTTTTAATTAATCAGATTTATTGTCCATCAGAAATATAACTTTGAATGAGATCACGTAATCAGGTACGGCTACATTGAACAAATTCGCATCGGTTTCTTTAGGTTTTTCCGTGTACGATACGTACCCTCGTATGATAAACGGATTATGGCACGTTTGAAATATTAATATGGACAACTCTCAGATTCGGAGGGGCAATTCCGAGTCATGGATAAGTCCGTGTAAGGCGGGTGTTTTTCCTTTCTTACGATAGACATGGTCATTCCACATCTGCCTATCACAGTATACATTTCATTTCCAGTGGCAGCTCTGACTAGTGCCCTTTATCTTTGTCATGGGCACTCCTTTTAAGGAGGTTCGCATTCAATATGCCAATATTCAGGGGATACCGTGATGATATCATTTAGCGAAGGGAATACATCAATGATAGGAAGAGGGGAAACCTTCATCACTAGCATTCATTGTTCTTTTCTCTACGACGATAACACTTAAGTTTCCTTTTCCTGGGTAGGGGAAAACAACGAATCTCGAACGGTTCGGGAAAGTGCAACTTGACTCGAACGCTTAGGCTAAAAGTATCGACTGGTTGTTCCACGTCCTCTCAGGCGATTGAATTATTTTGCTGTAATTTCCCTGCTGCATTAAAGGTGCCGTGGTTCTGATTTCCCATGACATTTCGACCGTGGGAAGAAGTAGAAGTGCAAAAGCTAAGCGCGATCACATATTGGATATGAAAAAATCGGGTTTCAGTTGTAGGGTATCCCCATTAATATTGTTCCACAGAGCTATGTGTTCATGCTAAATTTAGCGTAAGAGTTTCTTCAGGCAAATGTTAATGGTAAGATAATATCCCACCAGTTTGGATGGATTGTGTCGTAAGACATTGACATGAGTGCATGTTCAGTTCAACGTTGCAAATCCATAAATTGATGCGGAATTCGAACAGTACGTTTGACTCTTGTTTTATGCTTGTAATTGTGTGTACTGTGTAGTGACTTGGAACGTATCAGCGTGCAAGCTTCCAGAAAAAACTATCCTTTGATTCCTCGTATCCCATACGAAAAATCGCTCTGTAGTCCACCAGGGGACTATCTAAATCCTCCGTGTGATCCACTTGTGGAATGACAGTTACACAAGTGGAATAGGGTGGACTTACTGTGAACTCCAGTGGACTGATGTGGACAAGTCCACATGGGGACTAATGTGGACTCTATGTGGATCCTCTTAATCCGCATGTGATCCACATGTGGATTCATCCAAATCATCCTGGTGGATTTAGGGTAGTCCACATTAGTTGATTTTTTGAAAGGGATGTTTGCATTTTCTTGCGGAAACAAGAAGGGGTCGCAGAATGTGTGAACAGATCCGGGAGACATTAGTCACGAGGGTAGCTGAGGCGGCCTGTAGAGATAACGGAGTGAAAGGAGATTTTCTGCGTTCGATTCAGAGCGTAGATGTTCGACTCAAGATGCAGTGTGTACGATTATGGCATGTCCCATTTCGAAGGGACATGCTCACCCACTTTCCGTCACTGAGGACTTATTCCTACCGTAACTTGACCCTTGAAAGCAGGTAGTTTCAGAGAGGGGCGAAACAGTATGGTCGCGCCCTGGGCAGGCCATAATGGGCCGAGAGAAACGCTGCCTCTGATAATTTGACTGGAAAATAGTTCGAGTTTCGTTTTTCCCCCATTTGAGATATGGAGAACAATGGGTTTCCGGATTATTTTAAAATTCCCCATGAGGGAGGCTTTTGCGATTTTTGAAAGACTAAATATATTTTACTTCCTTCCTCTAGAGATGATTCTGGAGATGACGGTTTTCTTCTGAGGAATTCGCTGAACCTCAATGTTTCTGAGTCATTGCACAGAAGCATGGGAAGACAGCCATCTTTGGATATCAAACTTCCGATATTTAATCCATATCCAACTCCGCCACCATTTTGAATAGGCCCTGTCCTCGAACATGAAAAACACAATGCCATGTAGCTAATCATTCCATGTGGAATTTACCTGGTTTTCCCTCCAAGAGCACACGGTTTCGAAAAGATTGAAAAATCTACTAAGAATAATATTCTGATTGCTCCATGCGCTGCTCTAGATCAACTACAGCTTAAATGACGATGGGCTTCCGTGCGATTAATCTGACCCCACCACAAATGTGGAGGCATCAAGGAAATGTAAGAGACAGCAGATATTGACTTCCTATGGGAAAATGGGTATAGAATCTGAGGTTATGTGCATGCGATTGGAAAATGAGTTATTTTCATTTGGATTTGGGCAACTGTGCCTCCCCTAGAGGGACGAAGTCTATCATTGATGTGTATGGGAAAGAGGGGGAGAGAGACATTGCAATGGATTTTTTATCAATGAATTCATTTTTGCGTGCACCACCTAGTGACACTCATACTTCAGAGTAAAGAAATGAGAACATTAAAATCAAACTACTTCACGATTCCCATAGGAACAGTGAATGAGTGATTTTACTCCTGGATTTACGCAGGAATAGGACATAATTCTATTGAGAATCCCATGGGACTTTTTTTTTAAACTAAGGGCATTCTAATTTAGCATTCATCCAAGCAAGGAAAAGCCATTCTTAAAAAAAATTCCCTGAAGTTCTACGTTTCCAGTGGCGAATTGATATGAGGTGCCAATACTGAAAATTAATTGCACGATATCAAAAATGGAGCAATGAAACCTTGCCTTACTATAGGTATTGCAAAGAGTGTCCCAGGAGTTTTCATTTCTTAAATTGACCAAAAATAAACAAGCTTTTGGTCGAAAACTATATGGGAATGGTCTTTGATGAATTACCTGATATACTTTACGACTTGTCCCTTTATACGAACTCTCATTGATGTTACTTTTTTGTAGTGAACCACGTCAGGGTACCTGAGTTTGGAGGAATGGCGTAAAATGACGGTGTGGATGGAAATTTATGAAAGTGTGGTGATCGCACAGAGGGAATACTAACGGTGTTCTCTCTCTCAGGGGCTCCCGTCAACACGCAAAGCCATCGCACGCATTCCTGAAAAGTTTGTAGGAAAAGGTAGAGTGACGACAACACCCCCACAGGGAATGCAACTTCTATCTAAGCTACTATCTTACGCCTTTCCTCCAAACTCATGTACTCTGACATGGTTCTCTCCGTAAAAGTGTCATCAATAGCGATTTATGAAGTGGACAAGTTGTCTACCCTATTAAATTCAAACACCACCCTTCTTATACCATATAAGTTTGGAGCAAAATCTCGTGCATGTTTGGAGTATTCAATTAAAGAAGGAATATATGCCTCCTTCTGGGTCACCCTGTATGCGTGCAGGGATTAGTAAAAGTAGCATTAGCTTGGCTCCAGATCCACGAGATCATTGGCTAATATGGGCTACTCAGACTTGCGAACATAGTAAACTAGTTTGACATATCGGTAATGATTACACATAGGGGATCTCCCAAGTTTTCCCTTATAAGGACATCCCTTATAAGGAAAGGGAGTTTATGCTCATATTCTAAAGGGAGTTTAAGCTCCGCCTCGTACAATTCGTGAATTCGAAAATTCGTGATTTTGATGACTGTTGTAGGTTTTGCATGGCACATGACTGTTTTCTCTGACTAGTCCAGCTCAGAGTCATCGGCATGGACTCTCCCTTAACAAAATATAGTCCCACATCACCAAATGATCATGGCTTTGCGTGTCCTTCAGGGATACACAAAAATCAATTGAAAAGCAACTTGGATTCACATGTTGGGTTATGAGAATAGATTTGGGTTACTTCGTAACTAAAGCGCATAGTTTCGGTTTTTTTTGCCGAAAGCGTACCTATGTCTGTTACAACCATATTTTGCGACTACATTCGACCGTATGAACAAGTTGGATTCTATGCTTAACCCTATGATCGGATTAGAGGAAGCCGACTCTTCAGCCCATCCCGTGGTCTATTTGGTATGGGGTGATGGACATGGTTTACTACTCCGTGACACAAGACAGATATTTTGGTAATGAATATAAACGACTACAAATACATTACATTAAGCTGGTTTCTTGCAACTGATTCGACTTGGGAGACATTGTCGGAGACGAAACGTCCGCGACCGAATGTGCAGGCAACATTAGTATGTCCCTTTGATATATCCCAAGAAGTCACCACGACAACTTTGGTATAATGAGTCATGACGTATTCATATCGCTCATAGATGGAAACTATGCACTCTGATGGAATTAGTGACAGTCGATTTACCGAGTCTGGTGATTCCGAGTAAAACTTCGACGACTCCAGTGAGAAAGCAGAGGAAGACCGCATACTCCACAAAATGATCCCCGAACGTATTAGAATTGACGAACTGTCCCAACACGACGCAGACGACAGCTGTGGGTCCAACCGTGACATCCTTCACGCTCCCCACGAAAAGGTACACGAAGCATCCCATGAATCCAGAGTACAAGCCATACTGTGCAGGAAAAAAAGAAAGTCGACCTTGTGACTCGAAGAAACCTTTGCCACTCCATTCCTCCCGTTATGGTGTCAGGTTTTTTTTTTGCTAGAGTAGGAGATGCGTGAATTCGACACAACCATCGAAATTACCAAACTACCTTGAAATATTTACTGTGGTTATTACCTATAGTTATTCTTAAAAAAGCGATAGAAATTAATAATTACAAAGCACGTCATGATTTGCAGTAGAAAATGTTATATACCAATATGTGAAATACAGGGACACAATGAGGAAAGCCCATGGGAATCAATATGAAACCTCTGGCTTGCGTTCATGAATTGCTGAGTTAATCGACCCAACATACTGTTAAAGCAATAGGCTTTAGTGCATGCTTATTTCTTTATGATATTTCAGACGTTAAGATCTTTCATATTGGAAGAGAAACTAGAGAAATTGAGTGGTGAAACATTACAATTATTCACATAGTGAAAAGGCACACGAGAGATGCTCAGAAAACATGGTCGAAGCCTCACTTGGACAGGGAGGTTGGCAATAGCTGCGTAGGCGAGACCTTGCGGGAGTATGGTGAGTCCGACAGTCAGCCCCGCTATGAGGTCACACACCAGGTGTGCTAGGTTGTATCGGGGAAGCCACTTCGTGATGGGAATTTTCCTCTGAATCGCCTTCTTAATTCCACGACGGCTTGGAGGGCAGGGACAGCAGGGACGAGTGTCATTCGAATAGTCTTCCAATAGGATGCTGCCCCTGTCATCCCGGTCTAGAGTTTCTGCTGAATTGACAATGCCATATCTAACTGTAAAAGACTGCATTCATTATATTTATTGGAGACATTAGAGTGATGGAATTAGGGGAACGTGCTATTTTCCGTGAGAATACAGGTGCTACGTTTCACAACGACACTGTGGGAATTTTATGCAAGGTGAACAAGTCCATGAGGGTCAATTTATGAATGCAACTGTCTGTTGGTCAACCGTACCAAGTTTTCGGAGACAGGTTTTTCTGAAAGCTTTCTGAAATTCAGTCGAGTGTTCTCCTTATATTATAGCGGAAAGTGAATGGTATACATGTCAAAACCAATGGGTTCACCCCTTATCCCCTTTCACTTCTACACTCTCACCCATTCTGTCTCTGCCTTGGACACTGTCAGGCCCTGACTGAGCTTTCCCCTAAACAGAATGGCTCTCGCCACCTTGTGCGAAAGTGACTCGGTAGTCATTCTTAAGAGACATACTGTTCTCGCTGTGGCATCCTCTCTGATTTGATGGTGTTCACTTTATTATGAAATCAGTATCATAAGTCAAATTGCGTGTTAAACATATAAAACATCAATCTCATTTGAATCTGTACCCGGTGACCTACCTGTATAATATATTTCAACTTTCAGTCATTGCCAGTTTTTATGTTAAAAGGAAACGTACTCAAAAGCCATGTGAACATTATGCAAAACGTCTTCGGTATATTTGGCGTATAGGATTTTCCTAGGGAGTTTTCAGAAAAATATGAATGAGTGAATGAAATAATTTAAAAACATTTGATAGTGCCCTACTACTATACAGGGTACATCCAACATTGTACAAAAAATACAGCAGCGCAGTCCAGACTCTGAACACTTCAAAGGACATTCATCTTCAGAGTTTTTCCTCTTTGTTCTATATCGGGTGCTGGCAGATATTTTCGCATTACAAGAAGGTTCAGGGAAATATGCATTTCCTTTATATGAATTTAAATCACTATTACATTTGGAAAAATCATATCGAACAAGAGTTTGGCATAGAAGGTGTTGCGCGAGATTTGTGTAATTGCTTATAATGATTGTTTTTAAACAAAATTCATATGGGAATTCTATAGGACTCTTATAGGAAACCTATGAGATTTTTATGAGATTACACTCTTATCTGTTAAGAAAAATCGATGCTAATATAAGGAATTCAGGCTGCATCCAAACCGAAGCGAAAGCGTCCAATATATATCTCATGGGAATGATCATGCATAACTGATATGGTGAACAACATGCATCTGCGTTATATGAACCCCTCTCTTCAGCTTGATGCGCATGCTTCGACGCTGACATACTACCTATAAAATCAATCACCAAAGACTGCTGTCTCAAACCGGTGTCTGGCTGCTGCCGAGGAACACAACTTAGTCAAAAGCAGAGCTTCAGCTCCAACATGCCTTTTCTTTGTTCGGCATCTCGAAATAACTTGACGAACAGAAAAAAACTAGCGAACTGAGATAACGAGGCGAATCGGTGAGGCCACAAAGGGACTCTAAATATTTTTTTTATAATCGAGAGACACTTTCGATTACAAATTAGTATTGTTAACACAGATGAGGGAATACCACTCAAAATGCACATTCAATGTCATAAAGTGCTTATACATTATGTTCCCGTTCAGTCTGTCATTGCTGTTCTATACGAATGCATTTTGCAGACCTAAACGTTACTCCCCTGCTGATTGAATTATGAGAAAACAATCGTACCAGCCGCATACTGCGAGTCGAGTCGGGAGATGACGAACGCATTCCTATTCTCCGGAATGGACACGATAGTCATTTCCATCGTGGCCTGAACGAGGATGAAAACGAATCACGGCCGAGTAGCAGGCGGATCGCTATAAGAGGCGACTCGGGTCCTAGGGATCAATTCATATCTATCCACACGATGTTCACTGGGTCATGGGAAGAAAGAAAGGAGGAATGGAGGAAAGCGCAGGTATTTATTCACTAAAGGAATTATATCTCGACGATGAGAGCCTGACCTTTTGATATGAACTCGTGACCTATTCCCACATACATCCTGAATCGTGGAAGAATTTTTAGTAACGAGATCCAAAGAATCGTTTTACACCCGATTCCACGAGTGTCATAGTAATCCCGAAATTTCCGTTAAAAAATATGCCACATGCTCTGAATGCTAACGAATATTCATATTTGTTGATGATTTCCTGATGAGTGTCATGAACATGAGGTGGAGTAAAGCGTTGTATTCATGAAATTCATGACCCCCTGGGGGAGCGTATTTTGTTGCATTTCATGAATACGTTTCCTTTCTCCCACTCGCGGGGCTTCTGCATGATGTGAAGATAGGACCGCTTCCCTCTGCTTCTTTTCTCCTCCAGATATTCTCCATATCCATTTTAATGGGGGTTTTCGCTTTAGAGTGTCAGTAGAAGACAAGGACGACTTTTTGCGAACTGAATGATGTGGGTAACGTTATGACGTGTTAAATTTGTGCCGAAGGAGCTGATTATTTGATGATTTTTTTTAAAGTAACGTTGCCGTTATTTTCACGTTTCTCCAACTTCAATACATTTCTATGGTTCGTGCCGTTGTCTCCATACTATCTCGCCATTCTTTTGTATATTTCACGTCTGCGCACCCTTTCCGATCACAAAAACCGACCAGCTAGCGTTGTACCATGTTGGACGTATGCGAATTCCTAAAACTTTCAAAATGGATAGATACCAATTCCCCTTTCTGCAAAAGAATACGGTCCCAACTCAAACATAAGAGACAATCAAAGAGCCTTTACTCATTGATACATCCTCAGAATACCCCAGAAAATCCTCATTTAACGTACGGTCCATCCCCGATTGAAATGTTTGGATATTTCCTGAAGAAGGAGACCAGCAAGCTCGTCAGATGGGGCGAATAATTTATTTCCAAGAGATAGCTCCTGTTCTGCGCTCACATCTTCTCGTCATGATGTCAAACATGTATTGTATGGTTGGGAGTTCCATGCATTTTCATAACTGCATTTTCATGTAGTTACATGAGAATCTAACATTTCTCTAGAATATCGTTTTAAAAAAAAAGTATTCTTAGAAAAATTTGGAACCTGGAGGACACCATCTTTGTCAATGGTACCCCGATATCCATTTCAATTGAGCACTCCATTCCCATACTCATTATATGGCACGTAAATACCATAGAAGTTAATTTTTGTTATGAATGGCATACATAATCAGTATGAAAAGCTGAAAGAAAAGTCTTTTCAGAGTTTGCAATGTTAGATTTTCAGTGGAGTACATGATGAGTTTCATATCGTACCGATCATGATTCACGGGAAATGAGGAATAAAGAGTAATTAAACCCACAATAGAAAAAACGATCAAAGCACTCATGTTAAGAAGCACTCAAGCTCTCATTTTTAAGAGTGTAGTTGATAATCATGGAAGTTGCATCGTGATTACGTGAAGTCCGTTTGAGTGATTGGAGATGTCCATGTCCCGGTTACATTTCGTGTATGCTCAGAATTCTAGGCTAGCTCCAATCCGCATCTATTCTGGTCGTTATGAGCCAAATTCCTGCATGAAAATTCCGCATCAGAAAAAGACTGATGGTCTTCCATCCTAGGATTCCCAAAGGGAGAACGGTTTGGATGCATTGGGGACGAAAATTGCACAAAGCATTTATCTCGTTATTTTCTACTTGTAGTCTCGGTCGAACCAAGCAGGACTCTTTATCCAATAAGGGGATTCTGACCGTGACATGTGCAGCCTGAGGTGTTGAATAATGATTGTCTTTATGAACTGATCTCTTTGATGATGATCTAAGGGCTTTATAGGTGATTCTCCTGATCGATTAATACATTTCATTCTAAACATTTAATTATACGTGATCCATGACGTTGACAAGATCCCATCACCAGCCTTCGCCATCTGCCTGCAGTCGTCGAACAATTATAATCCCATATCGACACACAATGTGAAGAAAGATTCCCATCGTCTTAATTAGGAAGGGCAGATGGTGTAGGAGATGAGATAGATAACATCTTTGGTGCAGCTTGTGAAATGTTGTAATATGTTTAAGTGTCTCTTAGGACCTTTGATGGGGAGAGAGGAAGAAATGAAGAGACAGGTGAAACAACGAGGGCGACCACAAGATGAAATCCCAGCTGTGCATGGGGGGCAGAGTTTGGGGTGAGAAATTAGGTTCATGAGATTTCTGTCGCGTCGGAAAGCAAGGAAAGGGGAGCGGAGAAGATGGGGGCGGTGTCAGGTCCAGACATGAGAATGGGAAAGTTGGATTTGATCATGCTGGTCACACATTGCTTATTATTATTAGGGTTGTACCGATGTTGGCCACAATTGACCCGTGGGCAGATGGGTTGAAGACTTATTATGATCTTCTACCTCCCTGGATGTGCCGGTGCCGATTTTAACGTGTTGAGAAACGGCGAGAAACCATTTAACCAAAAATTTTGTTTATTCAATTGGACCTGACGGAACGATAGGTATTAGGGTTGCAACACTGAGTCTCTCTGCCAAATCCACGTATCGACCTCAAACACCGAAAGTGCATTCAGCGGATTCAGTCATTTCTTGCCCCGATTGAGCGGAGTTCGACTTCCGTTGTTTCTTGACTAGATCGGGGTGAGGTCATCTCGCACATATCACAGGCCTTTTTCTCTTAGACGTCGACTTCTCCAGCACATGAACTTCTCGTCTTTCCCAAATATTTTCCTTCCTTTCACTTACATACCCGTTGGGGAAAGGGGGGTCTTGGAGTCGTTCCCGTTCACGAAATAGGTTACGACCGCACTCATGACCGTAACGATCCCGTTCCGCGCCGTGCTGATGAACCAGATCGTCTTGCTCACCGACGATAGGATTTTGCCTTTGTTCTGATCACCTTTGACAAGTCCCACGTCTTCGTATCCTGAAAAAAATAGATTGCTTACTTCAAGTTGGTTATTTATATATTCTTCAATATGCTATCAATCGCGTATTCGGAAAATAAATATTTATTAAATTTGCACAAAAACACAAATCATCCGTCGAACCTACAAGGGTCGTTGATTTAATTCGCGAAATGATGCTGGTAATCGCCCTATATGACCTGATTGACAACCCTATTGGGAAGATTGATGCAATTGGAAATTCCCTTCAAAGGAGACATCGATCTGTTCTCCGCTTTATTAGAGCGTGGTTTGAGTGCATCAGCAACAACTGCAGAAATGAGTCAAGCAAACGAATATCTTGGAACTCCACAATTGCCTGGTTGTACCGCTTCAACGGTGTTCAAGCGGCACAACTGGTTTTGCGGAGGGGCGGGACTCTGTCCCTGGCGACAGACGTCCTAGACGACTCGCAGCATCCGCATCACCGGATAAGGTTTTCCTCGCTTTGAGGGGGACTGTCACGGCGCTGTACGGGTACAGGGACGACAATTGCTAATCTCAGTTGGCACTGCACATACTTGAGCGAGGTTATTTTTCACAGCCATGTGTAATTCGTATGGAATTAGGGGGAAATGTGAGATTATAAAAAAAAGAATATTACAGTAAGGTTTGAACATAACGCAATGGAGTTGCTGCAGTGCAAGTATTACCAGATTCGTGGCCACCGACGCGGGAACTGTACAGAGTGAGATTTAACAATAAAAATGGTAATGGAAGTATTAATAATAGAGTGTTTCCGAGAATTCGTGCTAACAACTCTAATTACAAAGTGCATTTACATTTACATAATAAAAATATTGTGCTTCACTTAATGGTTTCTGAATTTTTCATGAATAAATATGCCACATGTGGATATGAATGGCATAGCCAATTTAACGTCGAAGTTGATTAAAACAATAATTGATGTTATATCAACAAAAACTTTGCCTCTATACGGGGTTGTGAGACTTCTGAAGCACACTGTATTTCGCGAGTCTAACTAAGGGGGGACTCATCACATTTAAGAAAGATAAATTCTTACTTTCTGAAATTGACAAAATTACGAAAGTTGATGCCGAGGATTTCCCTCATTGCAAATGTAAGAAAAATAGTAATTGGGATAAAGTTCCCGTCAGATGAAATCTGTAATGCAAAGGAATCCCTTTGCAAAACCTCTGCACTCAATAGAGCGAGTTAAACAGTTAAGTTGTTGACAATATCCTTAGTTGCCGATACTTTCTTCACATATGCTCCATACTAAACTACGTTCGTTATACTTTCAGCTTAACTTCATCCGATTTTAAATAACTGTATTTTGTACATATTTTTCAAAAGTTGGGGGAGGTTGTGTGCCATTCAGGTGTCTGGCTCTTTCTGCAGTCCTTACCCGAAGAAAGAGGAGAAGACCAATGGAGACGAAGGCCGTGAGAAGATCCCACATGCGGGCTACGCTCAAGTGGTAAGTGACTTCCCGGAGGACCTTGAGGAGGTTGTGGGAGTGGATCACGGAGGAGAGGCCGAACAGCCCTGTGATCTCAGTCTCGGAGAGGGCGATTGCAGCCGCTGAGGTTAAACCCGACAACACCGGAGTCGAGATGAAGCTCATCAAAAAACCTGAACAAAGGATTTGAGAAAGCATGTTGTCCAGCTCAATATGGAAGAGAAAAACGTTTATAACACTCTACGTAGAAGATGTTCCGAAGGTTTATTACCCACTAAAATAAAGATCGAAGCGAGACTAACACGAACATACATAGTATTTACTTATTTACATTACACGAAGCCAGGAGCACCCTAAGAACCATTACCAACATCAATCCTTGTTATGAATTTCCGACAACTTCAAGGAACATCGGACAGGTATCCTGAAGCTCGCAACCAATTGACGAATGGCATTCGTCGCGTTGGTTTTTCTTAAAAACCCTAGTAATGATTGACGCCCTATTTATGGCGTTGGGTTGACGCAGAACACTCTGCTCTGACCTGTGCCACAGGAATTCGGGGTGTTGAGGTCCGGACTGTTCCTTGGTCAACTTCATCCAGACCCGAAAACCATTTTTCATGAAAGGCAGAAAATAAGTGACGGTATGGCATTACATATTAAATACGCCATTAAGACATGTGCGTGCATATCACAGTGTTGTGTGCAACGGCATCATCGCACGGGGTCGGGGCTAACCCGTGGGAATGAGAATGAGGATGTCAATTAGCTAGCACTCCAAATGGTCGGATTGAGGTGACAAAGCAACTAAGTAGCGTCATGAAGTACCTCCATCGCTCATAGAACGAATATTAACGGAATCAATGCCCTCTGATGGAATTACTGGCTGTCCCTTTACCGAATCCGGTGATTCCTTGTGCGACTTCGACGATCCCAGTGAGAAAGCAGAGGAGGACGGCATACTCCACGAATTCGTCTCCAAACTCATCAGCGTTGACGAAATGCCTCAGGACGACGCGGATGACTGTTGTGGGCCCAACCGTGACATCCTTCACGCTCCCCACGAAAAGGTACACGATCCATCCCATAAATCCAGAGTACAGGCCATACTGTGCAGAATAATAAAAAAACCCTGGTAAACAAATTAAATACAGACCACGTCATTCATTACTCATTACTATCCACACTTCTTACTGAATGGTTGAAGCTCCTGCTAAGTGAAATCGTGTCAAACGTTTAAGTTAGCACATTTGCTTTAAACATTTGCTTCAGCTATTCCACCCTCAATATCAACAAGATCAAATTGCAAGAATACGTTATTTGCATTTGAAGTATTTATAGATAGATACAAGGGTGCATCATACGGGGGCACGTCAAGAGAGCCCCATGGAATCGAAATAAATATATCAAATCCAAATCCAAATAAAACGTTTTAGCTAATCTCGATGAGTAATTTTTCTAATGGAGTTGCTGACGCCATTGGACGTCGATGCAGACATTTCAGAGCTCATGAGCATTGTCATTGCAAAGGTCGTTCCCAATCATAAGACTCCATAATACCATATCGCCGGGTAAATGCACGGAGAGCTCAGATGGATCGTTCTGTGTTCGTGGATATGTTTCACTCACCTTGTGGAGCAAATGTCGAGTAAATAGAATTTGGTTTGAAGCAGCGCGCCTGTTTTCTGTCAGACGAATCGTTCACAACGTTCAAGTAACTCATTTTGACCCACGTCTCCACGATTTAACGAAATCATTATTTGCCAACTCCTGTAATCTGACGTGAAATTGATTTTGTTTCCTTCATACGGTCGACGCGCAAAACATGTTCAGAAAACATGGTCGAAGCCTCACTTGAACAGGGAGGTTGGCGATAGCAGCGTCGGCAAGGCTTTGTGGGAGTAGGGTGAGTCCGACAGCCAAGCCTGCGATGAGGTCGCACACCAGGCACTGCAGGTTGTATCGCGGAAGCGTGATGGGAAGTTTCCTCTGGATGGCCTTCCTCGTCCCACGAAGGCTTGGAGGGCATGGACAGCGGGGACGAGTGTCATCCGAATTGTCCTCCACCAGCCTGCTGCGCAAAGCATCTGCAATTTCTGCAGAGGTTCATCATGCCATATTCAATCTTGAAAATAACAGAATTCGTAATAAGAGAGTGGCTTAATAACTACTGGTGTTAAAGAGGATGAAGAGCGAATTTTCCTTGAAAGTCTAGGTGTTACATTTCCTTGCATAGGAGTCTCCTATCTGGAACGATTATCTTCGAGATTAATTTGTTAAAAGCAACGGTTAGTACTTCAACCACAATAACCTGAATAACCTTATTCACATTTTAATCATAATTGTTCTAAGCGTTCCGCAATATTTGTGCAGCTGATGCATGCGCAAAAATTGTACCTAGGCAAAAACAAGACTTTTCTGCATTTCATTTAATGAAATGCATTAGCCTCGTGTCTCGAACTAGTGTTTTTTTTTAAATGAATAGACTGGGAACAAGTAAATTCAAAGCATTAAAATTCAACTATGCTCACTACATTACCAGATATTTCCGTTTCCATAGTTCAAGAAGCAAACGCCCATGGCGAGTGATGGTTGAAGGGGGTGATTCCTCGTAAAGCAACGACTTATTGTCTTTAGGAAGGGGGGTCTCCAAATTTTTTTCTCCAGTGTCTAATTCTCTATTCTGCCAGAGTTAATCTAAATATAACCATACATTTCGGTTAACAAGGCCGAACATGGAAATTATCACATAAAAACGATGACAAATCATTTTCCACCTGCTGCGCAATTCGATTATTGCATAATTGAATTCATCGCCAAGTGACATCAATATTTGGTCATCAACAGACAATAGGAAACTGCAAGGAGTTATGAACTCGCGCCGCACCTTTGTGACTGACTTCAACTCAGCAAAAACACATTACTTAAAAAATTGGAGTGCAATAAATCCTGAAATATCAAGCTCTCGTTTGCTGTAAGCAATATACATGTGCGTTCTTTATTTCATGATTTATTAAAGGTGAAAGTTGTGTGAATCTTTCATGGACACATTTTATATTACAGATTACATCAGAAAAAAGAAAATTGTGTGAATCACGTAGGAATCCTTGTTTAATGACTAAAACATTCAGGAAAACACGCTGTATGAAACTGGAAGTTCTAGAAATTATGTTGAGTTACGGGGATTATTTTGAATTATTAATACACATTATTACATATTAACATGGTTTCTGCACAATTTTCGACTTTTAACTATTGTCTTTAAATAGGTCAAATAGCATGAGTAGGGACTGTCCACAGGGCGTATCATATGTCAGGAATCATGGGGTTCCAGGGCCTAACCTTTGGCCATAGATCCCCATGATTCCCGAGAGGCGTTACATCCCATTCATATTGGATCCCCATGATTCCTGACAGGCGTTACATCCCGTTCATATTAGATCCCCATGATTTCTGACAGGCGTTACATCCCCTTCATATTGGATCCCCATGATTCCTGACAGGCGTTACATCCCCCTTCATATTGAATCCCCATGTCAAAATAAGGAAAAAAATCGTACCAGACGAATGCTGAGAGCCGAGCCGGGAGACGATGGTCCCATTCCCACTCCCCCGAGCCATGGCGGTAAAACACACTCGCTGATGAATTGACACTCACTGATGAAAAACTTTGAAAGCCACTGATCGCTCCCTCGGAACCAGCTCGTACGGATGCCACCGTGCGATTGGAACTAAATGCGGAGGAACCGGCCAAGGGGTTTCAATTGGAAAATGAATCATTCATCGGCCGCGAGAATCTGACCTTTTCATTATCGATTTCGTGAAACGTTTTTATTTATATTCTGACTCCCGGAGATCATTTTTGGTGACAGGATTCGAGGAACGTCTCTACGACCCTCTTTCATTCCCCAAAGTCAACAGGTGTTAATTCCAGGAACTTTTTTCAGGATTTTTTTTACACATACTCTCACCGTCCCCGAATAATTTTCGGGGAAAACCGTTGGATGCATTTACGACGTCCCACGTTTTCGAGGAAAACCGTTGGATGCATTTACAACGTCCGACGTTTTCGCAGATTTCATGAATGTGTTTTTCCTTCCGGAGACTTCTCGGTACCGTAGAGATAGGGCCCCTTCCCATTCAGTCCTCATAAAAATTGTATCGACTTGACATCTCTTTTAGGGGTGACCATGCCCGACGAGGACGGATCATTTGATTATCCGGGCTTAGTCCTGGAGATTACTTATGGCGAGGAAGCCGCTTAGTTCATTATTTTTCATGAGTATTGCCGGATACTGCGACACGAACATGAGAATTGGCTCTACCCAGTCGAATTTTGTCCATGCTTTGAATCGATCACAGAGCGGAACCTTTTCTTCCGTTCTTTCGGTCGATCGGTGTATTCTTTGAAAGTAATTTCTCTTTTTTCCCCCTGGGATCTGCTCTTGACCCATTTCAAGCGAAGAGGTAGCACAGAAGCCATTCGAGTGATCGTCGATGGAATATGCCTAAATAACTAATCTGATATGCATTCATCATATCAAATATCATGCATCATAAAAATGTATGAAGGCCCATATAACCCATTGCAATGAGAAGAGAATCGGGTTCAATGTTCTCCCCATCGCACATCAGCAAGTTATTGTCATGAAAATTGATCAAACATCAATGAGTAATGTTGATGAACATAATTCATGACAAGCGGAAAAAACCTTTCCACAAATTTAATTTCCAGGAGTGAAGGCGAAGGCATCCCACGGTAACGTCATACTTGGAACGCGCCCGCATAAATTATTTTGCCTGTTCTTGAACGCCTGTTGCAACATGAAGGGCCCCAGCGAGGATGTCCAGGAAAAACGACACGTTCGCATCGCTCATGGATACCCTATAAGGGGATGATGTGCAAGCCACAGGAGACGACATTCGATCGCACCCCAAGAGGATGTCGACGCGGGGAACGACTGGTTCCGGCTCGTGTGAGTCCGGGAACTCGCGATGGGGATACCGTTAAGAATAATGTGCCTTTCCGCGAAGGAGCTGAGCGGTAGGGGCATCCCCTCCGTAGAAAGCTGAATACGCGGGGGGGGTTGGCACCTTTCCAGCCGGAGTTCTCCTTCACTCTCTTTCACTCTCCCGTCATCGTTAACTTCATGCGCCTTCTGGAATATTTCACCCGTTGACAGCAACAGATAAAGATATAAATGAAATGCTATGAAACAGCAGGAGAACATGAAACGCTAAAACACTTGGACAATTTTCCTCTTTCTGGCTCTGGGTTCATTCCCTTACGAAAAGACCATATTGGATCCTACGCGATTTTTTAAACATAAAAATATTATAGGATTCTGATAGAAATCCTATAGGAGTCTCATATCAATCCCAAATGAATCCCATAATATTTTTATGTTTCAAAAGTCTTAAAGAATCCTATAGGATCTTTGCACATGCAACTGACATGCACATGCACATGCACATGCAATCTTCAGGGGTGAATTCGATTTCAGGGAGAAACGACTGAATTCACCATCTCTCCTTCATACACGAGAGAACTAATGATTTAGGTGGTGACAGGCAAAGTTCCACCATATTCAGCCGTGAAGAGCTACTTCGATTTACTCACTGCAAATGAGGTGAGATTCTATATGATCTGTCAGTGGCTGCGGAAATATTTCTCTTGACTCCATGCTAATTCAGGAAACCCTGGACGTTTTGGGTTCTTCGCAGGGGAATGCCTCCGAGAACATCTCAAAGATGTTCAGCAATTTCATCTTCTCCTGGCAGTGGTCTGAAAATCCAATTTTTTAAATAAATATTTTAAACTCTCTCTTCCCACTTGCTGGGGTTACCACATTCGCGACGCATTGGAGATAACACTTATGCGTGGAGTGCATTAAAAAAAAACCATCAGGCCAAGAAAAAACCAGGAAGAGCCACGATCACGACTTAGTGGATGGGTGAGGGTGTCCCTTCCCGATTTCTGCCACGATTACCATAGCGAGCAAACCGTGGGAATCACCTACCTCAAGGGCAACCGTCTCCAAAATATGACATGTTCCGATGTCAACAACTGTTTTTAGTCCCCTGTCAAAATTCACGAAAGGAAAGAGACGACCATCAGGTGTCTCGGTGTCCTCCAGGTGCCCCGTGTGACCTCCGACCCTTGACCCCCTTCCAATTAGTCCTCGGCCACCTCTCTCTATTTCGTCCAGATGACCAGGAAAAAAAGTCCCAGTGAGGGAGGCTCTCCCTCCCTCCCTTCTCGCTGGAGGAGAGTTCCGCGCTGACTTCCTTTAATCTGGAGCGAAGCTTATGGGTGATGAGCAGGTCTATCCAATATTCGTTTCCCGTTCTTCCTCGGGATTAGAGAATCCCGACACATTTCCTGCGTCATTGAGTGATGGGCTGTGCATCACCGTGGTAATGGTAAATGACCTCGTCTCATAGAAAAAACCCTCACAGACTCAACCCCATCAAGAGTCAGGCGATTCCGTTTGTTTTCCCCTCTGGTTTTCCCCTCTGGTTTTCCCCTCTGGTTTTCCCCTCTGGTTTTCCCCTCTGGTTTTCCCCTCTGGTTTTCCCCTCTGGTTTTCCCCTCTGGTTTTCCCCTCAGGCTTTCCCCTCTGGTTCGTTGGGCTGCCGCTGCCGTCAGGAGTGCGTCGCCGGGCCTGTTCACCTCTCCGACACGTCTAAAGCCCCCGTTCAACCTATCGCACCTATTGCAAAAAACCTATTGCACCTATTAACCTATTGCAAATCGCTCATGCCTCAGACTTGCCTTAACTCGGACCAATCGTGTCGTGATTCCCACAACCAGACGAAAGAAACGCGCCGAACCGTAACAATATTACTGATAATGTTTAAAGCATTCATGCATTTATTTCCCAACGATTGACATGCGATTCATGATTGCTTTGCATTCAGGCGGAAGAGAGGCCCTCAAATGTGTCAACCGGTGACGGAAATTACATACGACATACATCTTCAATCCCGCCTTTCCGTCTCCCCCGGAATTACGGA